ATTCTTCTGCACACTATCATTATCACTTATTTTAGATCTGTATATATACATACATATATATATATATATATATATATATGTTGTTTATGTATTTGGCAGACGCTTTTATCCAAAGCGACTTACAGAGTAGAGAGGAGCTGCATTGGGAATGGGGAATCGTCTGGGATTTGAACCCAGGACCTCTCGCACCCTAAGCGAGAATCATACTCCTAGCCCAACGAGCCACTATATATGTGTGTGTGTGTGTATATATATATATATATTTATTTTTCTTTTTTTTTTCTGTGAAATGTTCTATATATATATATATATATATGTTGTATACAGTATGTGTGACCAGTGAATCCACTGTGAGATCAATAAAGCTTAGCTTATCTTATCTTATATATGGATGTATATATGTATAGACATGTATATATGTATATGCTGTTGTATATCTGGAATTAGTGACAAAAATCATTTCCCTCTGGGATTTTTAAAGTATTTCTGATTCTGAATGAAACTGCCTCCCATCCGGTTGGGACGGCCATGCACGGGCTAAAGCCGCAGAAGGGCGGCCAAAAGCTGTCAAATAAAGAGTCTGCAGGAGTTATTTTTAGGCGGTGTGTTAAATGTGTGTGTTTCAGAAGAGAAGGGGCGACATCGGTGGTGGAATGTTGATGGAAAAACAAATCGACTTGAGAATAAAGTCAAGAAAAACTCAAATGAGAAGAGTCCTGTCCCGGGATGCCCGGTGTCAGGGGACTTTCCTGAGAGAGATTCAGTGGTCTGGGGGGGGGGGGGGGAGTCTGACCAGACATGCATGGACACCTGCTGGGAGACATGTTATCTAAGAGTTTGACGGCATACATGGTCAGAAACAGCTGGTTTCTAACTCCTCCCAGGTCACAATTCTCCTCAGGTTTAAACTAATTGACCCAAAACAGAGGTGCTTCTGTTTTTTTTAACCCTATAATGCCAAACATAAGGTTTCTGAAATGTTTTGCGTCTGACACCTTTTGCATAATTTAATGGTAAAAACTTTGCTCAAAATCTTATTGTACACAATCAGATACACCTGATAACAGGGGGCAGAAGACTACACAAAAAATAATCTTGACTTATCGCATAGTAATAAATTATTAATATTAAAAATATATTTCTGTTTTTTCTTTTTACATATGTTGTTAAAAGGCCAAATAAAGACTTAAAACCAAAAAAAAGTCATTTTCTGTTTTGTTTTATTCCTGGATCAGGCTTTAAAGGGTTAAAAAAGTGTCATTATTAAACCGACTGGAAAATAAACACAGCTGAAAACTGTGCACACTTTTCCACTACAGCCATTTCTTTTTTCCCCCCTTTCCCTGATTAACCGGCCTTGTTTGGTGCTACTGAGGGCGGACTCACAGCACTCCTCGTTGACCACGCACTTCTCCGTCTCCTCGGTGTGGAACTGGCAGAGCGAGCCGTCCTCGGGATACTGTTTGACGTAGCGCTCCCTGGACCTCATCCCCATCCCGCAGGACGCGCTGCAGGCCGACCAGCTAATCCACTCAGACATCATGCACGTGGACGGCTCTGGCCACCAGGGAGAAAAAACAGAGAGCATGTTGCCGTTTTCCGTCTTATTTCTTCCGTTTGTCACATAATGTGTGTTTGAACCGGGACAACATAACAGGACTGTTATAACTGACTGTTATAATCTGGAAAAGTACAAATATATATATAAAAAAAACTGTTAGATTATTATAGATGCTGCCAAATTCAATAATACTATTAAATTCAATAAAAAAAATTTTTTTTGCAAAACTATGTGAAATAAAGTCATTTATGTGCTTTGATTTCAAATAGGATTTGTGACAACTGTGTTAATGTTTATCTATTCTGCTACCCAGTTTTGTCATTTTGTGAGTTTTTGTCATTGATATACAGAATTTTTTTTTTTTTTTTACTATCATTTTCCTTTACATTGATCTTTTTATTCCCTTGGAATGGTTTAGACTCAGATTCAGGTACATTTAGTATCTTTTATTTAAACTTTTTAAATGTATTTTGCTATACAGTTGATCAATTTATTATTATTGTTTTTATCCCTAGCACACCTATTTTCATGCTTCCTTTCCCATTTCTCCATCTCCATTTTTCCATACTGGTAGGCATTTCTCCTTCACTATGCAAGACGGCAGAAGTCTGTATTTCTCATGAAGGTTTATGTTTTAATACAGTGACAGGGTAACAGATGGGTGAGGCAGGTTTGGGCTCCGGTGGGCTTACCTTTTAGGTCTGAATTATTATTACTTAACAAGGAAGCTGGTGCACCTGTATTTTAAAGGGCTAAACAGGAACTTCTTTTGAGAGAAATATAATTAGTCGGCTATGTTTTTACAGCAGTCATTGTGGAAGAATGTGCAGTTTGCTCTTCCAAAAGGTCACTCGAAAAGAAATGACTCTATCAACCTGCAGAGATCCACCTCTAGATCACATCCATAACCACAGGCAGAGCTTAAGAAGACTAAACTGATGTATTTGTTGATAATTCAATGAAAAGTTCTTTCATTTTCCTCTATTGGTAGGTTTATTTCTCATAAATGTGGGTGAAAGTGTTCAAGGAAAGAGATAAAGTGTCAATCAATGCGTAAATAGAAGTTTTTGCTTAGTAAATAAAGACAATAATGTTTGAAAAACCTAAATTCAACATTTCCTTCCTCATTCGTGCATTTCACTCTGACACGGCAGTCTCTGCTTTAATCTAATCAGGATAAATTATAGAGTGTAATTCATTTTAATACCCTGTAATCTTTTCTTGAAGCCTGGCTGCTACCATCCATATGAACCAAACCAGAAACGTGACTAGTTAATGTATTTTTATCAAATATTTAACACCTATAAATGCTGTAACCATCTTTAATATTCATAGCCTTTTTTTATGAAAGTAGAATGTTCTCAACATGTACATTTAATAAAGTGTGATTAAGGTTTTGGAAGTGAAATCCATCAAAAAGCATTTTGAGTGGACGTATTATTGATGTCTGTATTCCACTTTTCAATCTCATAGCTCAGAGTTACGGTTTATTGAAGGGAATCGCTGTTCATTCCACATATGCTTACATCCAGGGGTTTAAAATGTTGCTCTGAAAACGATGAAACACGCCTCAGAGCACCTGTGCATCTAGCCCCAAACCCAGCACTGAACCAGATCTTTAGATCTGCCGAATAATGCTGAGTTTTAACAGTCCCGGAGGCTCAGAGGTGGGATTTGAACCCATGTCCTGCGGTCACAGGACACTAACCCCACCCCTCCAGGCCCGGTTTTTGAGCTTTGAGTCTGTTCGGTCGGCTCAAAGTTGAGAGTTTTCAAAGGGCTCTCCGAACAGAAACTGCTCCAAGTCTCTTTTTAATAAGGCCAGTTGCCTTAGGGACGTTCCGATTCACAACGGAGTCAATACGCATGACCTCTCAAGCTCAGCCAGGCCCCAATAAGGCGGTTTTTTATCACCATTAGCCAGCCTGGCCCTCCCAGATCTCCCTATTCGTCACTTACAGGAAGACATAGCTAGCCCTAACCGCCTTTTAAAAGCCTCTTCTCCCAACACCTCCTCTGGGAGTGGCGCCTTTGAGCAGATATCATATCAAAGGTGTGAAAAGGGAGCCTGTCAAGAGGAAATAATTATGTGTGAGCAGACCTTGTAAATTGGGACTATTCTTCAGCGATGATCAATGAAAATCTGCGACACCTCGAATGGATTTTTTCTTTGACTCGCAGCCCTCCGCTCTCATCCTCATCCGGCTAACTGAGACGGTGTTCCTAACCAGCTTCGGCCTAATAAAGCAGAACTAAGTGCGTCATTAATAAAAGATACAGGTATCTCAACCTCAGATGAAGCCTCCAGTGAGCGAAAAGTGTGCTTCCGAGGAATATTAATCACACTTTAGATTCTCTTACCTCGACACGGAGCCCGCAATTATCAATCTCCCATCGCACACTAACGGAGCGCGAAATGAAAACAAAGGAGAGGTGCTCGGGAAACAAAAAGCTATCTGTGTCGCTTGTCTGGTAATCGATAGGAGCAGGAGTAAATAGCGGGAGCACGCCGGGGTGGGAGAGGCTCCTTCAGACTCCTTTAGACTCCTTTAGACTCCTTTAGACTCCTTTAGACTGCACTCAGCTGGTGAGGGGTGAGAGAGGCCTGCCCCCGAGAGCCGAACCGACAACCTTCCGGGAATAAAATGGACCGGGTGTAGACTCTTTGGATTTTGTGACCCCGTGTGTGTGTGTTTGTTTGATGGGGAGAAGCATCAAACTGGCAGCAGAGACAGAAATAAGACGAAAGAAATAAGAAACTTCTGCCGAGAACAAAACATGGGAGAGAAAATGTGGCGTTTACGGGTTTCCAGATCTGTGGGGATTTGTTAGTTTTTTGTTTGTTTCCCAGCCTCCGTGCTCATTGTCACGTTTTACGGAATTTTGGTGTTTTGTCCCGTCTCCATAGTTGTCTAGTCGTTTCCTGTTTTATTTTGAAAGATACATCCCCTTGTTTCAGGTCTCTTTCACTCCCCTGTGTGTCACATGTCAGCTTGTCTTCCCTGATTGAGTGATTATTATTTGATACTTTGTTCATAGTTTTGTCTGCCTCCTTTTTGTATTTTTCCTCGTCCTCCACTCCTTGCGAGTGTCAGGGAAGGTGGGATCTTGAGGGAGGACTCTGTCGCGGAGATATGTGAAACAAGGGTTTATTGGAACAAAAGCACTCATACGGAGTGGATGACAGACAAAGTTCAGATCAAGGCTGTGAAAAACTATGAACAAAGTATCAAAGCAATAAAGTTAACAAGACTGTGGCAAAGTATCAAATCATGATTAACAAAACTGTGACAAAACATGGCTGTGACCAAAACATGGCTGTGGCAAACACATGAACAAAGTATCAAATTAGGTAAACAAGGCTATGGCAAAAACATGGCTATGGTACGAAAACAAGACTATGGCAATAAAGTGAACTAGGCTGTGACAAAATCAAATCTTACGTAGGGTGACGGAAACAGACAGACGAAATACGAAAACGCACTGGCACAGGACGTGGGAAACGAGGACTATTTAAACACATGAGGGAGGGGAACCCCAGGTGTACACAATAGGTAATCAACACATGACGAGACACCAGACATTCCCCCAGACGTGACAGCACGTGCACTTTTGGTTTAATTAAAACCTTTTTTTGCCAAAGATCTCTGCGCCTGAGTTCTGCCTTGAGTTCTCATCCTGACGCTCCTGAGCAAAGGCTTCCACGTTCCAACAAGTCACGGCGTCTTAATCGAAGCCTTCTGAGCGCGGCAGGCTGCTCGGCATTAAGAGCTAATCCAAATAATATCTCAGGATTCGGTGGGATAGATGAGCTAGATCTCGCTGTGATTTGGGATTCGGTGTCTGCCCTCAGTGTCTCGCAGAAGCTGCTTATTCTCATTGGAGTCACCTGCCTCCTTCTGTTTGGGCCCGTCTGCTCGCACAGGCTCTAATTCCCGGTGACAATAACCCTAATTACCATGCGGGGGCTGTACAATGGGACGTCTGATTTCCCGTGCAGAGGAATAATAAGGGCTGAGCGGCCCGGCGAGATTCACGGGGATGCAGCCAAAATGAAAAACGCCCAGAGAGGACTACTGTGCTGGTTCTCAGAGCCGGTGTTCTGTCAGGTCAGCATACCCCGTCAGACCAGCATACCCATAGTCAATACGCATGCACATGACGTCAGATTTTCGTACGGGGTATGCTAGTCTGACAGTATAGGTGTCAGATCAGCATACTTAGCCCGTCAGATCAGCATACCTAGCCCTTCAGATCAGCCCGTCAGCATACACTTTGATAAGATTAATTTGCCATTTCAAAATGTATGTATAGGTATTCGGATTTGGTATTTTTCGAAAGGTATGGCGATCTGACGGCTTCTCCAAGTGTTCGCAACTTTTCGCAGTAATACTAAACTATGTGTATGCTGGTCTGACGACCTGACAGAACACCGGCTTTGGTCAGATCGGCTCGATAGGCGCATGGATCTGGGACACAAATGACCGGAGAGCGACGCTTTGCTACTGTTTCCATTTGTTTAGTCTCTCTCGAAACAGGGGTGTTGCATTCATTGTAGTCAGGGATCTTTAACTCCGGTCATCGAGGGGCCACTATCCTGCTGGTTTGAGATGTTTCCCTGCTCCCAGCCCCACGTGACCGGGGATTGAGATCCCTGCTCTGAGAGATGCAATCTGAACTGACTTTATCATCATTTCTATTACCTCCTTAGCCATTTAGAACCCGTCAGTGGAGTCCTGAAATGTTCTGGAGACCACGCAGAGCTGTGGTGAGAAAACATTCAAATCAGTGGATGACGCAGTGTGTTTGGGGGCAAAAAAAAAATCTCCAGCGTTCCCGTGTGAGAAGGGTCCTAAATCAGTGCCTGACTTGAGGGAGGGTCCCATAGATGGTGGGATCAATCCACAACAGATGGAGGATCTACTCTGAATTAGGCTGCGCGTCATAATGTGACAGATTATGATGTATGGACACTGAAAGACGTGTAAATAATGATTCCTATAAGCTGGGAGCCATTTGTCTTGCTATTGAAATCAAATTCTTTAAAGTGGTTGTAGCTGATAGTCGCAAGTAATGATCCATTTGTTTTCCTGAGTTGACTGAACACGAGTTAATTGAGGAATTTCAAATCAGCGCTTTGGTTTTGATCGATCAGTTTTAAATTCAAAGATCACAATTAGCTGCTTTGGTGATGTTTAAAGGGCCAAGTTGACCGAAACTGTAGTCCCAAATGAACTCAGCTTGTTTTTCAGCACCGCAAAAACAAGTTTGTATCCTTCAGATAAGGACATAAAAGTGAATTAAAGCCTCATCATTTCTGTTCTTTAGAGGAGCTTCGAGTGCAGTCGGCAGAATCTGATTAAAAAAAGACGAGCTGGTGCTCTGCGCTGACGTACAGCCTTCCCATTTTTGGCTCGGCTCGGAGGACATTAAGCACACTTTCTTTAAACTTAATTAAGGCAATGAGCAATTACCCGCAGCTGCGTTCCAGCAGAACGTCGAATAAATGTTATTTATCGACAGAAAAAGCGGCCGCGAGCTATTCGAACGGGCGTTTACCCTCCTGGCTGCATCCCGGGCCCATGCAGGGCTGGAAGTCCTGGGTGTGTGGACACGGGACGCTGAGGTCCAGCTGGGCCTTCAGCATCCTCTGCCTCATCCGCCGGCCCTTGTCGCAGGTGGCGCTGCTGCAGGCGGACCAGGGCGACCAGGCCGAGTAGATGCACGTCTCCGGGGTGTCGTCTGAGGAGGGAACGAGCACACGTCGTCAGGGCGACCCCAAAAAACAGGCGGCTTCTCTTTGACTAGGTATTAACTCATTGGCTGCCAAAATCGTCTATAGACGTCTTTTATGTTTTTCAACGAGAGTGGCTGGGGGACGATCTGCTAAAGCTCGTCCGTAAATATCAGGCTTCTAGACAGAGTATGTAGTAACAAATTGACCCTCTAGGTGGCAGTGCCACTTTTGATGGGAGATGAGCATAGACTGTAGGCAAATAAGAAAAACACAATGGTTCGCTATGAGAGAACATGTCGCCGGTGAGACGCAAGTCGAGGAAGAACGATATAAGGTAGAAAAAAAAGTTTTTTCCTGATGAAAGAAGAGAGTCTATTCTTTCTTTTGGTGTGTTCGGTGTTAACATAGTCATAGCACAAACTATTCTGTGGCTCTTGAAAAATCTGTCAAAATGCTCAAAAAAACTCTGGCAGTATGGTACTCTCTGTTCTGGAAAATGGCTGCCAGTCAATGAGTTAATTACAGAACATGCCTCCAGACACCCATCTTGTTGTTGACCTCAGTGATCGTTGATTGGAACATAGAACTATCGGGACAACCTGTGTGGCATCATGCTTCCCTCTATTTAAATCCACCCAGAGATTAAAACAGCTACTAAACCTAACTCCCCCCTAACTCTGAGCAACACCTCCTAGGTTATGATAACCGCATAACAGAGAAATCTTGCAACACAAGAGGCCTACAGAGTGACATTAGAAGCAGTAGAAGAGGCAGGAAGGGGGATCGAGAAGAGGGATTTGTGAACGCCTCGTCCAATTATCTGTGGCAACCGAGCTAGGAGAGGCAGCAGGAGTAGTAACTTCAATTAAAATGACTTTCTCAGAGAGACAGGGGGGAAAAAACGAGGCGATGGAGAAGACATGAGAGGGGCCCGGTTCTCCGGGATAACGCGTAATGACAGAGGGGAATGAAGGGGAGAGAGAAGAGCTGTAGACACAAAGAGAAAAGAGACCAGGAAGAGAGGCAGGAGAGGGGAGAGGGAAACAGGGGAAGACATCTATTAGGCGGCGGGAGATCCTTGTTAAGGGTTTTTGCTAGGTGTGCAAAAAAAGCCGCGGCACTAACAGGAAAAAAGAGTTTTCCGAGCACAAGTGGAAATGATTGCAGCAGCACCGTTTAGTCACGGGCCCCACTTCACCGTGCATATTTAAACAAGGTGTCCATTCACCTGATATCTTCTGTCATGTTTCACCTTCGTACCAGCTCATTTTGCTACTGTTTGCCTTTGTTTCCTCTTTGTTTTACTTTATACTCATCTTTGTTGTTCGGTTTTTCATTGACTTTATAAATGAGACTCTCGGTAAGATGACAACACAGCCATCAAACACTGATTTAGGCTTAACCCTATAATGCCAAACGTATCATATCTGATGGATACGGTTTCTGAAATGTTTTGCGTCTGACACCTTTTGCTTAATTAAGGGGTAAAAACTTTGCTAAAAATCCTATTGTACACAATCAGATACACCTGATAACAGGGGGCAGAAAACTA